CAGGGACTTGTCCTGCCGCTGCCTCTTGCACTTGTACCTGCGGTTCTGGAACCAGATCTTCACCTGGGTGGACGTGAGCTTCAGGCTGCTGGCGAGGTGCTCGCGCTCCGGCGCCGACAGGTACCGCTGCTGCTTGAATCTGCGCTCCAGCTCGAAGACCTGGGCTTGCGAGAAGAGGACCCGGGGCTTCCGGCGGCTGCGCGGCTTCGGCCTCTCGCTGTCCTCCGCCGCCTTACAGTCTCCCGCCGCCTCCAGAGGCTTCTTCAGCTGGCAGCTTTCTGCGGGAGAAGCAAAACAACAGCGTCCCTTAGACGTTCCGGGCCTCGCCGCAGCTCCGATCCCGGAGCGCTGTGGCCCCTTTGGGAGCAGCACGGAGAGTGCGGTGGTATATGCCCGGAGTTTCTGGAAAGTTTACGGCTCCCGGCGCCCTGGGACCCTGCAACCGCCCAAGTACAGTTAGAGCGCCCTTGAGGCACGTTCCATGGGGAGGGGTAGTTAGTGCGCTTTTATTTAGAACTTGAGCATCTGCGAAAGAAGAGATTACCCTGTATTAAATGTGCGGATCAGCGTGCTAATGACTATTTTCAAGATGCGAGTTTGCAACGACATAATAACTACAGTATTCGCGAGCTCGTTTGCCTTCCACCCCGACCCGGACAGCTGGAGGTGTGGGGCGTGTTGGCATTTGGGGCCGGTACGCTAGAGTTTGCACGAAAATCTTTCTAATAGAAAATGCCTGAGTGTAACGCTCGCGCATTGCCGAGGGACTGATTTTTGCTCTTGAAAGACTACATGCTCACAGCTAAATGTCTGTGCGATTATGCCTGTGCTCCCTTGGAGAGAAAAATAAATTCGATTGGCTGACTGATACAGTTTCACGTCGATTTTAGGCGCAGGGGAGCTGTCAGAGGGTAGGCCTTGGCTTCGGCCACATCAAACTTCCTCTTGGGGAAAGAGATTCGACTGTGTACCCTCAGATACAAACACTTCCTGGGACGTTTTATTCAGTTATCCGACCTCCTACCCAAGTCACCTCCCATCCGATGTGAGCGCCAGGATCTCAGGCTAAGTTCGGCGCGGTTTTCCCTCGGCCGGAAGCCGCACAGCCCGGGACACAAAGCAAAACGTTACGAATTCTTAAAAAAGGCTGGCGCCTCAGGGGTGTGGAGGCGCCTTCGGAATGGACTCTGTTCCCACGCACTCTCCCACTGTCCCCTCCCTCTCTGCCGCGTGCTGTGGGCGAGAGGACGCTGAGCTCCCAACAGAGAGCGAGGAGACCACTCGGCTGGTCCCCACCAAAGTTCCTGCGCCCGGGGACGCCGGCGACGCAACCGGCTGCTCTGGCAGCAGGGGACTCGGCTCATGCTGGAGAGAAAGTGGGAAAGACTCCGGCTCCTGCCCCTCTAGCTCTTGGAAAGAGCAAAAAATACAGTGAGTTGCCCGGACCCTGCCGCTGAGCCCCAGCTGCTTATCCGCGTCGGGGCAGCAGCAACTCCCTTCCCTTCCTCGGGGGCCGCGTCGACCCCTCTCTGGGAGGAGTCGTTGTCGAGGTCACCTGCTCTTGCCCCCTCCGCCCCAGCTCCCTCGCAGCACCTGCGCTCTGCGGGGTTGTCGCTGACCAGGGCCAGGCAGGACCCCGGCCGAAGGCCAAGGGGACAGGCAGCCGTGCTGGCAAGTTTTGTGGGCCGTTTGCGGGCGCTCCGCCATTGCTCCAGATGTGCGGGTGCGTTTCCTGTCCCCCCGCTACTCACTTTGGCTCCGGTCCCTCACGACCTCGGGCTCCTCTTCATGTTCCTTAGATCCGCTGCACGAGTCTCGCAGGACGGCGTGGACGTAGCTCTGGGGACAGAGCCCCGACTCCCCGTGGCCGTCGGCTGTGGCCAGTGAGTTCAAATAGGACAGCTTGTCGCCCTCGTCGTCGTCGTCGTCGTCCCCGCCGTCAGAAAACTGCGTGCCCTCGGCCGCGGCCAGCATGCAGGGCGCGGAGTGGAAGTGGTGCTCCAAGTCCGCTTGCAAGTGAGCGCCGTGGAAGTGCTGCTGCTGCTGCTGCTGCTCCAGGTTCAAAATATCTTTGACTGAGAAAGGGGTGGAGGTGACCGGGCTTGGTAACATCATCAGGGCCACTTAATTTTCCAGCCCAAATACTCAATAAATCCCGGCGGGGGCGGGGAGGCAGCGCGGCGGCTGCAGCTCTCCCTGTGCACTCCGCCGCTGCTGCCCGGCGGGGCTTTTGACAGACGCGGTCCGGCTCCAGTCTAAATCCGCTCCATTGGCCCGGACCTGGGAGTCTGGGTTTTGTTACAGCGGCTGCGGGGACTGGGGCCTCGGCTCCGAAGCCCGTGTCCGAGGCTCGTGCGTCACGTCGGGGGCGGGGCTCTCGCCTCGGCCTCCCTGCCCATTGGCTCCAGCTCCTGTGGGCCCCGCCCCCGTCTCCGCGGAGCGGGGTGTAGCGGCGCTACCAGAAATAGTCAAGGACTCCCGCGGAGTCTCCGAGTCCGAGACTCGCGAGGCTGCACCGCCTCGGACGCCCGAATACCGCTTCCCGCCCCTCCTGGCCGCACCTTCCCGGCCAGCGCCAGTTCTGGGAGGTCTCCTGTCCGCAAACCAACTCCAGGACGGACGGAGGATGGTCCAGGAGCGTGGTTTGTCCAGCTGCTGCGGGGCAGGAAAGCCTCCTGGCCTGTAAATACCGGGCACTGGGTCCCCAAGGAGACAGAATGCTTTCTGTATCTATGGATGAGCGACGTGTCCGTTCCCGCCTCCTTGACTCTGCTCGGGCTGTTCCCTCCCATTGGAGCGTCTTCCCTACCCTTGTCTACAAGAGTCAAAAGCTGTTCTCCAAGGTTCTGCTCAAATACCACCTCCTCCGAGGAAGCGTGCTCCTGGTCGCCTAGCTGGGAGTCATCTCGAACCTGAACTTGCAGAGCGTGTTAGTAAAGGACGCCCGTGCCACTGATTACTTCCCGCCTAGTGCTATAGCTGTATTGCCGGCCTGCTGGACGCAGGTAGCCTGTGCCCCCCTGAGGGCAGGGTCCCGGTTGCGTTTGCCTTGCAGCAGCTGCACCGTGCAGGCGTGTGCGAGACAGTAGGATGGAGTTGTTACTGAACTTTGTCGTCTCACAACTCTTGGTTTGAATCCTAGCCTAGTCAGTGTGTGTGGCCTTGGGCGTTTCCAAGCCTCAGTTTCTTTGTCTACAAAAAGGAGACAATAATACCTCCTTCAGGGTTGTTGCCAGGGATAAATGAGGCAAGACATGCCAGGAGCTAGCGCAAGGCCCCACGCGTGTGAAGTGCTCCAATACATGTCAGTTACTGCTACTCAACGTTAGAGGTCAAGCGGGGTTTTTTGACTGCGCCGGTGACGACACGGCTGGAGCGCCCTGCCCCCGAGCGCCGCACGCGGTCCTGAGCGGAGGCTCCGTCCTCGGCAGGGAGGCGACCCGGCCACGGAGGCTGCCTTTTCCGCCTATTGAAATTGGGCGACTGTTTCTAGGCCTTGACCCTTGAAGGCGTCTCATTTTTCCAACCCACACGCCTTCTGGCGCCCTCGTGCGGCCCGAGTTGTTTTCTGGACGGATCTGTGGGGTCCCCCGAGATTCTGGAAGCTCCACGCCGGTAGGG